GACATTGTTTCCCTTCTTGTATTCAAACAGCATTACATGCCGAATGTGTGTCTCGTCGTGTGTCATCACTATAATGGATTAGAGTATACTAAGCTTTACACATTATATAGGTTACACTAGTGTGATGTTTAGGAGGTTCATTTAATTATTATACATGATATAGTTTTTTGAGGGGTGATTAATGAAAGTGTTCCAAAACACGACATTAATCTCTTGACGACCTAATATATAACAAGAAATTCTGCAAAAATGTGATGTGAATTTAATATGCATACATTTTTCAATACTGGCTGGAATAAACTGTTAAACACTTGTGCCGAGGAATCAATAAAAAACAACAACTTGTATATATTAACATTACTACTTGTTAGGACTTAACTAAGTTGCAAGTGATTATAGGTAGACTTTTGTTTTCACTTTTTAGTGCTTCCTACAATGTACATGTAATAGAGCTAGTCATAATTAAAGTAGAGTTGTGTGTGTGTATAAGCAGGCTCATGACTTAACACCAGTTAACAGTGTTGCATATTATTGATTTGTTAGATTATTATAAAATAAGATTATACAATATCTAATAATGAAAATCAACTTGTGAATTTACATTTCTAATTTGTCACATCATTAAAGAGCTGGCATGAAAAAGTGGCTAAAGAATACAACTTCAGAATCAGGGGAGGAGTTGCATTTGCCCCATGATCAGTAATTTTAGTTTTCCAGATGTGCCATGCCTGTCAAAACTTCCACTAGAACACAAATTCAGGAAAGTAAGAGTTATGGTGTCACAAACATAACATATAGACAATTAGTAAAAAAAAAAAAACTTTATGGTTTACTTGACACTAATGAGTAAAGTAACACAAGTTATAAATTATAACAGAATGTAAAAAATCAGATTTTACAGTTTATGCTTTATCAGGGATGGATATGGGGCTTTTTATGTGGGGGGTGTGTCTAACTAGACCTTTACTAGCAATACTTTTAAATTTACATTAACGTCACTGTAGTATTCTTACATATGGAGGAGGGTTCAGACCCTCCTGGACCCTTCCCCTAGATCCATACCTGCTTATGCAAAATTAAAATAGTTCTTAATTTATTATAAAAAAAATTAAAGAGGTCCAGACCCCCTCTCCTAGATCCATGCCTGCTTATACAACATTAAATAATAATGATACCAAATAAAACTATAAACATAAAAGTGTAAAAAAAAACAGTAAATTTATACTTTTTAACCCTATATTGGCTTGAGAGTTGGCAGTGAGTGTTGCCAGCCAGTTGCCTTTCCTTTGGTTAGTTGTATTTTTGTGAAATTAATCGATCAATTGTAATTTGAATTAAACTATTGTTGGAATAATTGAAAACAGTATTAATCAGAAACACAAGCTTAGGTTAATTGCTGCTTATAAGTAATAATTTAATTTGCCCAGCTTTTTTTATGAGTTAGGTCTATCACTTGGTTTTCATTAGTTTTTGATTTATACAAGTTTTCAAACCTTTAGTTAAAGAAATAAAATGCTTTTATTTTCCTTAAGTCGACTGGACTTTGCATTATTTTTACTGAATAATAAAAGAATAGAACCTGCCTAACATTAGAGTCTACTAAAATAATAGTTTTAAGCTTAAGGAAAAGATGCTGTTGATTACTGATCTTTTTTATTATTATCATATATATATTTTTAATGTATTTACTGATTTAGGTTTAAGTAATAAATTCTATATGAACAATTAATGCATGAGAAAGGATAATAATTAAACTTTAATTGTCAGAGTTTTAGCTCATGATGAGATTGATGCTATTTTAATTTTTAGGGCATGACTGCCCATAATGGTTTCCAGTGGTTTTTGCCAAGATGGTTCACTGCTAATTGGTATGACACTGACCATTACAACAGCCAGTCTGATCCTTATAAAGAATACATTCCCTGTACCACCAAACAGATGCTAGAAGCCATAGAGGGCCATATGAGCCTTGCCTACAAATTCTATGGAGATGATGATGGTCTGATGCAGGAAGGCTTGAAAATCAATGAATGGAAGAAAATTTACAACAAGCGTGCAAAGTTTCCAGTGAGTTGAAGTTTCAGGATATTTTAGATAATAGGACAATGTTTTAATGTAAAGTGTAAATGATTTTTAAAGTAGGATTGAATGTTTTCTGTTGTTTTTTAATAACCTGTGAATATTTTCTTGTGAATTTGTCTTGGTTTATTAGGACCGGGACACAAGTCAGTATGGAGGCTATGCTTATGATGCTGTGTGGGTGTATGCTTTGGCATTAGACAAGCTTTTCAAAGAAAATCATAACTATATTGCTTCTCTTCACACAAAAAAAACATCAAAGTAAGTATAAAAAGATCTAACTTAGCTTTTTTATCTATATGCTTATATTTTAACCCATTTGTTAACTTTAATGTATATTGTCATTATTATCCTCTGTGTACCTACCTATATGATTGTACTGATGTTGAAGTATTTTCTTCTTATTTCAGAAAATTATTTGCAAAATCTTATTTACATATTTAATTAACAGTTAGATTCCTCAATTATCATAAACCTGATTTGTGGGTAAATTGTCAACAAAGCAATTTATTTTAATTGTTATTGCAAAATACCTTTAATTTGATATTTTCTTTTTTTTCTCCTGATTTCATTCAAATAGTGAAAGAATTAAAAAATTGTAAAGCTTATAGTTACAATCACAACAACTAATTTAGATTTTTTTACTTTCTTATATGAATATATATATATATATAGAAAGTATGTGACTCTGATAAACCAGACAGATTTTTCTGGTGTGTCAGGAAGAGTGAACTTTGTTGGATCTAGTCGATTGTCGGAACTTGATATTTGGCAGTGGTATAGAAATAGAACTCATCGAATTGGTACATACTACCCTAACTCGACCTACTCTGGCTTCCTAGAATTGAATCAAACAGCTATTGTGTGGCTCACACCTGACGGGAAGAAACCTACTGATGGTGGAGAAAGTGAGAACTTAGGAAAATTATATTCTCTAATGGACTAACCTAATATTTGCAAAGCAATAACTTTAAGTTATGTGAAAGAGTTAGTAATATATTGCTTTCCACTTTTCGGTTTTAAAAAAAAAAAAATAAGCTGTTTACTCTTGAAATATTATGAACTGAAATTTAATGTTCACTTTAAATTAGTTGAGTCTCAAAGGATAAAGTTTGTATTCTATTTGCTTTGCTTCCACTTTTCACATGTGTAGGAAATATTTACATTGTTAGTAATATGTACTTATTTGTATGATTGGGCAATTAACTTGATTAATTGATAACCTATGAGCTGTGATTACATTGATTAGTGTCACCCAAGATAATCGATTACTTGAAATTATGATTATATAGATTAATTTCATGAAAATATTCAGCTAGTGTTTTCAATTAATACTTTCTTCAGTTATTCCAACTATTCAGTAATCAAAATTATGATTAAATCAATTAATATCAGGAAAGTAATCAACTAACTGAAATTAGTATTTCTCATCATAATTGTTTTCATTATTCCAACTATCCAGTAGTCAAAATTACTATTAACTGTCACAAAAATAATCAACTAATTGAAATTGGTGTTTCTGATTATTACTATTTTTGATAAATCCATCTATTGTTATTATGTATTTGTTGTTGGGCACAAAGCTACGTAATGGGCTGTCTATGCTCTGCCTGTTGCAGGTATTGAAACCTGAATTTTACTTTAGATTGTTGTGTTTAACCAGTTCATGTAACCCTAATTGATTGGTAGAATGTAATTGATTCATGAGGCTGACAATTTGTCAATTAGCAAATTCCACTAATTGCCCAGTTCTAAATGTATGTGCATAGTTTGTTTTGTCATTGAAAAATATGTACAGTAGGTAATGTTTTTAAATAAATATTTGACTTAAAAATAACTTTTTTACAATGTGCATATGCTCAAAGATTTTGTTTACCTAAATTTAGTTTTCCAATTATCAAAATTTATGTTATATGATTTCTGTATTAAAATAGTATTGTGTATATGTAATTATGTATTTTCTTACCACTAGGTGTCACCATGTGTCCTCTGGAGAGTTTTCGTCAGGCTCTTGGAGTTAGTTGTGAGCTAACTATTGTTATAGCCAACCTTATGGGCTTTACTCTTTTTGCTCTAATTATGTTTATTGGATTTCTTTTCTTTAAGCACAAGTAAGTCCTACATTTCTTAAAAAAACTATTCCTTACAAGTTTTAGTTAATTCAAATTTAAATAAAAAAGAATACTGGATAATTTCAAATATAGTACCTTACCTGCCCCCATAATAGCTGTTCAAGTTCAGTGCTGCACTCTATATGCAACAGTTTTTGGCATGCTACAAGCCTCGAAAATTCCACCTACCCCACGATCAACGTGGTTCACTGCATCTTTTCATGTAAATCATCATGCAACAACCCTCCACCAATAGGAGTGTGACACTATTCGATTCTACCTAACCATCACTTCTCGTTAGGTAGTGGTCTTGTGCAGACACTTCATTTGTCAGGAATTTTTTATCTCTGCTTTCAAGTTTTTACTAATATTTTTTCTACGGTTTCTTCACTGTAGTTTATGGTCCAGGAAACTTCCCTTTTTTTCTTGCTTTTTCTCACAGTCGATTATGAACTCGGAATTTCGTGTCATGACTACACTTAACACTACTTTGATTGTCGTGACACAGGCTTCAGGTGTGGGGATCCTGACTGGGGATTTTTGGTCATCATTTGGAGGGAATTTGAATTTTACTTGTCTTCGACCTCTTTTTCCTGACACTGTCTGGAATCCTCCAGTCTCTGTAATAAGGCTGTTCACGATTAGGAGGATTTTGACAGCTTTTTTCAAAGCCTGTCCCTTTCCTATGGAACCTGCTAGGCCTATGTTAGCCTTTATGGATATGTATTCTCAGGTTTGTTACAATTTTCTGTGTCCTTAGTTTCATACACACAGCTCAATCCTTCGATTACCTTGTTTTCCCTCCTTCTCCCAATTTTAGAGTACATGCTATGCATTTCATTTCTCAATTGAGGGCTGGTGCCAGCATGCTTTTTCTTCTATCATGGACTTCTGATCTTTATGCATTGGCTTATTTTCAGGCCTTTGATTCCTTTCTTAACTTCCACCAGTTGGAGTCATTTTTGCCTTTGTGGGGGTAGATCCAGTGAATCCTGTATGTTTATTCCAAGCCCAATTTCCCTGCCATCTTCACTTTCCATCTCTCATTTTCACATATCTTTGTTACCTGTGGATGGCTTTTCTTCATAGGTCTCTTTTTGGAGATATTCTTAAATCTTTGGAGTCACGTATGGAATCCACAAAGCAACACTCAACCTTTTCTTCTTTGGTTGCTCATTTGTCTCAGTCTGCTCCTGCACCCTACTCTATATATACCTGTTTTACATTCTTCACCCTCTCAACCTTTTCCATTTCTATACTCTAGAAGTCCATCAGTCTGATTTTTGACTCGCTGTCATACTCTTTGCCACTAACAGTTCTGGTGACTGTCTGGTGGTGTTTGGCCAAGTAGGGGCATGTTTGTCTGAATGTGTTTACCTGTGGCAGATATTCACTCCCAACCCATGGTTATCCGGGGTTTATTAGACAGACTTTTTCCACAATTTCTGTCACCATCTCCTTTGTTTACAGTTCCAATATCCTTTCCATTACCTCAAGATCCAGCTACCAGTCAGCATTTTTTTGAAGCTGTTCAGACGCTTCTCTCACAGCATGCTATAGCATCTGTAAGTTTTCCTTCTCCTGGTTTTTATTCCAGGCTTCTTGTCATACCCAAGAAGATAGGAGCTGGCATCCCATGATTGATCTGTCACACCTCAATCAATTTCTGGAATTTCCCTGTTTTATCATGGAATCTTTTCTCACCCTTTGGTGCACTTTTTCTCCAGGTTTATGGAAGACCAAGGTGAATGTCTTGGACACTTATCTCCATATTCCCATTTCCCATTAGTCCAGCCACTATCTTTGGTTTGTCCACAACCCTTTGGGCTTGCTTTAGCACCACATGTGTTTTGTCAGGTGTTCAAAGCCTTTGCTCAACTTTTTCATGCTGGGGGGTTGCACTTCCACCACTGCATGAATGACTGTCTTCTATTAGCTCCTTCTGAACTGGAGTCTTCTCAACAAATTTGTATGCTCTTCATGGAAATAGCATGTATGGGTTGAATTATCATCACAGAGAAGACTTTCCTGATTCCTACCGAATATCTTGTCCACTTGGCTGTGTTTTTCAACACTTCCCACAGTCAGGCCCAACCTTCTTCACTTTGTCTGCAATCGATGGAGCTTTCAGTTCTCCATGCATTTTTTGCTCCCTCTCTTTTTGCATGCAAGGTTCTGTCATTTTTGGGACTTTTGCTTCCATGGCAACTCTTTTACCCTTAAATCATGCACATATGCATTCTCTTCAGTAAATGTTGCACTATTGATGGAATCTTGCCTGAGATCACTTGGACTCCCCAGTTAGACTCCTTCGTTTCATTCTAGGTGATCTCTGTTGGTGGTTAAAAAGGAACAATACTACAATGGGGATACTGCATCTTCTCCCTCGACCAAAGTTGCATCAGTTCACCAGTGCTTCTATCTCGGGTTGGGATGCATTGGTCAATCAGCAGGAGGCTTCCGGACAGTGTTTTGAGCTTGAAGGATCCTACCATATCAACATCTTGGAGCCTCTGGTCATATGGTGTTCCTTGGATCATTTTCTTCCTATAATACAGAACAAACTTGTCATGATACATTCAGACAATTCCACCATTATCTCCTATATCAATCATCATGGTGGCATTCGTTCTTCTTCTGTTTGTGGTTGAACATTGGAACTTCATTATTGGGCCCACACACTGCAGATACATCGCATTGTGTGTCATGTTTTTGGTGCTTTCAACCTCATGGGAGATCATCTTTTTTAACCACATCAGATTTACCACACAGAATGGTCTCTTAATCCTCAGGTTTTCTGGTGGCTTTGCAATCAGTGAGGTACTCCTCATCTGGATGCTTTGCCATGTTTCTCACCACTTAGTTTCCTCTCTTTGGTCTCTGGTTCCTCATCCATAGTCCCTGGAGGTGGATGCTCTCAGCTAGAATTGGACCGACTGGTATCTGTATGTATACCCTATCTGTCTTCTTCCTTTCCCCTCTACGTCCAATCCTTCTAATTTCTCCTGGCTGGCATAACCTTTGGTTTCCTCTTCTCCTTCAGCTCCAAACGACCCCCCCCCCATTCCCTCTTCCTCTCATTCTGTCCTTCCTTCATTAACCTTGGTCGCCAGCACTTTATCCCACCCTTCACACTTTCTGACTTCACGTTTGGCATATATCCAGTTCCTTGAAAGAAGATCTGGATTGTCTATGTGTGTTGCTTCCTATTTTGCTTGTTCCTTCGACACTTCCTCTCTTGCAGTTTATCAATATCAGTGGAATGTCTTTCTCAATTGGTCTTTCTCCTTCTTGGTCCATTTTTCCTATTCTTACAATTTGTTTACCTGGCTGTTTGATAATGGGGCTTCTGTCTCTTCTGTTGTAGGTTATAGAGCAGCCTTATCCAGTACCTTCTATTTTTCTAGGTACTGTATTGGGTTTGCCTCTCCTACCATCTCCTTCTTATTGCCTTCCTTCCAGATTCATCAACCTCCTCACTAGACTGTTTTTCCAAATTGGAATGTCAAGGTTGTTCTTCACTCTATCTCACTCCCTCCATTTTAACTTTTGGCTTCCTGTTCCATGTATCACCTATCCACTCAGATTTATTTCTTACTCCTTCTTAGCCTATGGATGTTGTCGGTCCAATATTTTTGCCATTGACATTTCACATACTCTAATCTATTCCTTGTATATTCTCTTTAACCAGATTGATCTTTCCTGCCCAAAACTTCAGGGGCTCATGAGGGAAATTCTTCATATATGCCAATTTCCCTTCCTTCCATTTCTCACCTTTATTCTCAGTCTGATCTAGATAGACTTCTATGTCGTGTTTATGCTCTTTGTTGTTATATTGCCTGGACAGCCTCTTTCCATAGTTCCCTATCCCACTTTTTCATTCTCTGGAACCTTTCCACATTTCATGACCTTTCTCATTTTACCCTTACAGGTTAGGTTTGTCAACTTATTGACTGATGTATTTCTCCCTCTTTCCTTCATCCCGGAATTTGTTTCAGGTGATGTCACAACAGATACGACACCTTACCTTTTCCTGGTCTCATCTGTGTCGCCCATTGGGGAATTTTTTCGGTCAGGCATGTGGACAATACCCATATGTTCAACTCCCACTATCTTCATCAGGTGGCTGTTTCTTCTTTGTTGGGATACCACCTTTTTACCTGTTACATTACTTCACACATCAATTTGACTGTGCCTAGGTAAGTTTGATTTTCCATTTTTTCTTTACAGAGGCATGTCCCTTTTAGGTCTAGGACCTCGCTCAGCAGTGAGCTTTCCCTGTCCAGGTATGCGACTTATCTAGTCACACAAAATTGTGCACCTTATGGCTGACCATAAGTCATACAGTAGTATATTATCAGCCACCTAGTGACTCAGTTGCTCCACCGGTGTCCTTGCGATAGGTCCTGGAGGTTGATGTTGTTCAATCTCAGCTTTGCTCATCCTATGGACTGTGGTTGCTTAGGGCATCAGCTGGTGATACATACACTCCAGGATGATGGTTCCTTGCAGTATTTTGCTTCAACAACATGTCCTTTCCAGACAGTACTAACCCATGGACTTTCCTGGGTATAACAGAAAGGGATTGCTGCCCATCACTGCCATCCCTTTATTGAATAAATCAGGGGTAGTCTGCTTTTCAAAATAGGGTTTTTTGTGGTTACCTATTGCACTGTCTCCAGCATCAGCATTCTTCCAGACTTTTCACCATGATTCTTCTTCCATTTTCTTCTAGTGGAATATGAGAATTCTTGCCACTTTCCAGTTCCTAGCCTCTGGGGTTGTGGACTATGGATGCAGTCTCCTGGATGTGCTCAATTACATTCACTAGATAATAGGGTGGTGGTGTTCTGCTAATGTAGACAGCATAGATCTTCCACTCATGTGCTCCATGTGGTGGGACCCGGCGATTGAAGTTGCATGTCCATGCACACCAGTGTCTGTATGGCCCTATCTGAGGGTTGATGTTGTGCATGAATCACAATTGTATATTCCCTAAATTATAGTAGGTCTGCCATGTTGCAGTTCACCCCTCTGATTGGGATCTCTCGTCTTATCATTGACTGGATGTTGGTTCCCAGTGAGTGGTTTTGGATTTGAGCAGGACCAATGAACATAAATCCTCACACACGTGTTAACTGTGATTCCTCATCCCACCTCAGTCATGAGTTTTTGCCTTGTGCTCCACCTTGGTGTGTTGTGGAAGTTGATGTTGCAAAAATCTGGTTTGATTCCACCCCAGATCTGTGGTTCCTCAGGGTGTCAGACAGTCATCTATGTGCTCCAGATTCTATGCGGTGTTATTTGGAAGATGATGTTGTGCAGGACAAATGTAGCCCCTCTGGCACTTCACCTCTGTAAGGTTCACTACCTGAGGTGGATGTTGCACAGAGTGGAACTAGTCCAATTGGTTTTGGATTTGATGTACACCACCACAGTGGCATATCCCTTACTACCATTGTTCGGATGTTGGGGTTAGTTGTGGATTTGTGCACATGCACTCTGTTTAGTCGATTGGTATGGGATTTTTCTCTTTCTTTTCTACTCAACTTGAGGTCAAGATGCTGTGAACCCTCCTCCTACAACAGATTGGAATATGTATGCCCGATGTCACCTAATTTTGGACTAGAGTTGACCTACCGAGTATGGTCTGATGCACCCTAGCCACTCTACACACCAAGGGGCATATCCATTTTAGCTTTACCCACCATCTGGTCCATGGCTGGGAACCCTACTTCATTCTTCTGCTGGACTATGATTCTGGAGATTCCAGTGGGATGTGGGATCAGACTCATAAAGATTTTTTCTCTCATTCATTGGATGTGCTCTTCCCAATTTCCGACAGTTTATGTGATACCTATTTCCATACTGGGCGAAGAATATACCTGGTAAAGAAGTAGTGCAGTCTCCACCTGTATTCCTCTCCCAACAGGGGTTCACACTCCATGGGTGTTATTTGGATGATTTTGAAGGATACTTATCTATATCCCTCACACCAGTCCCTCCATTTTATTATGTAAGTGGAAGTAAGGTACTGTATTGAAAGTTAACATTTTCCAACACTGAAAATATATTTCCTATAGGTACTTACCTTCTCTCACACTTCCCAGCCTTCCTGCCCACTTAAAACTAGTGTTTAACTTCTGCCTAATCTCAAAGTGATGGTTAGGTAGAATCAAATATAGGGATTCATGTGCATTAGGAGGGTGTGTTGCATTCCAATTGGTAGAGGGTTGCATGATAATTTACATGCGAAGATGCAATTTATCATGCTAATCATGGTGTAGGTGAGAGTTTCAAGGCTTTTGGTATGCAAAATTGTTTTGCATATAGAGGGCAGCACTGAAAAAGAATAGCTATTATGTGAGGGAGATAAGAACCTGTTGGAAGTATATTTTCACTGTAAGAAAATAATAACTTTTCCTTTGCATTGACTTAATACAAAAAGTTCTTTCTTTCGATAAAATATGTTTCAGAAGTAGTATAAAATCATTCCCTATTTACAAATAATCTTTATGGTAAGTTGCATTGTCATGATTTTATCTATATTGGTTTAACAGTAAGCATATCACATGGCTGTAAATTACAGTTATAAATTTTTATGTATAAGATATGAAGATAAAGTAAAACGGACAGAAGCCAGAATGAGAGAATTGGGACTGATGGATATGAATCATTTTTCTGCTTTGGATGGCTGGGAGATTCCAAGGAACCATATAGTAATCAATCGTAAACTTGGAGAAGGGGCTTTTGGAACAGTTTATGGTGGAGAGGCTCTTTTAGATGATGGATGGGTGGCAGTGGCAGTTAAGACATTGAAAGTAGAAGCTGATGTTGAAGAAAAAGTAAGTAAAATATGGTTTTAGATTAGCTACTTTGTTGGAAGAATGCTCTTTTCAATATAAATAGTTAAATGATACACGTGTTGGTTATATCTATACCATACTAGTGATTTCTTTCATGAATCAAATAATTTATTAAGTACAATTTTTGTAAAAGGGAAAATATAACTATTATTACTTAGTTAATATGGTAATTCTCAAGATGAATAACATTAGTTTAGTATGGTTATATTGAAGTCATAGTGAGGGCTGATTAATATGAAATGTAAGTAAAAAGTTACCAACTAGGCTAGTTAATTTAAACTGAGGCATCAATCATTTATTTGGTTATTTTTGTGAAATAATTTAAACATTGTCATCAATGTTCATTGGTAATTGATTATATAGATTAAGTGAATTGCCCATTTCTAACTAACATGTTGAATATTTATCAGTGCTAGTTAATGTGTATGTTTGTGAAATTTATTTAAATTTAGTTGAATGGAATTTTTATATAATTTTTGGAATATGTTTTTACCCTTCTTTTGATTTAAATTTCATTGTATCACAGCAGTCTTTAGTTCATTTCTATTTTATGCCACTACATTTTGCTATAAATTATAGCTAGATTTTTTAAGTGAAGCAGAGATGATGAAACGATTTGATCACAAGAACATTGTTCCACTTTTGGGCGTCTGTACGATAGGCAAGCCTGTGTACACAATAATGGAGTTTATGTTGTATGGTAAGTCAACAGTTTATGTTGTATGGTTAGCCTCATAAATGATGTTGTATGTTAGCCCAGCATTCCATTGTCAAAAGTATCATTCCTATCTCATAATTAGCATTTCTATCTCAGTACCAGTATTCTCATCTCAAAATGTCCCCTAATTTCCTCATCAAACCTAGCATTTTCATATCATGAATAGCATTTCTGATTCTAATCTATCATTCCCTTCTCAAAACTATTGGCCCCTCCAGTGGCTCAGCAGTAAATCTGAAGGCTCATAATGTTAAAAATCCAGGTTTTGATAACCGATGAGGAATATACAGCACTGATAGCTCAAAATGTAGTTTGTGTTTAACAACAAACAAAAAAAGCCAGTATTCCTCTTTCAAATACATCTATTCCATCTCAAAAGTAGTATTTCCCTCAAAAAACCAACAATCCAGTCACAAAACTAGCAATTACATCACAAAATTAGCATTTCCATCACAAAACAAGCATTTCTCTGAACATCAATGGAAATTTCCATCTTGATTCTAACATTTCCATTTCAGTACCAGCACTACTGTCTCAAAATCAGCATACTCATCTCAAAACTACCATTTTAACCTCAAAACTAATGTTCTTATTCTCAAAATCAGCTTCAATTTTTCTCAAATCTTTTTGTAAAACTAGCATTTCAATCTCAAAACAAGCTGTATATTTAATAAATTTTTAGCAATTCCCAACTGAAAGCCAGCATTTCCATTTCAGAACTAGAATATCCTTCTCAAAATAGCGTTCCTGTTTCAAACCAAGCTTTTGAATCTCTAAACTAGCATTTCCATCTAAAAAACAGCAGAAATATCCAGCAATTTCCAGTTCAAAACTTGCTTTAACAGGTTAAAGCTAGCCATCACATCTCAAAACTAGCATTACCATCTCAAAATTAGCATTCTTTTGTCAATGTGGCCCAGCATGGCCAGGTGGTTAGGGTGCTTGACTCGCAATCTGAGGTTCACAGGTTCAAATCCTCCCCATCCCACTGAACATG